TGAACTTTCCACCCAACAGCGGCAAATCTACTAATTCCCACCTCCTCATGAAATCCGCAAAACCCTCATTCCCCTTTTGTTTTCTCTGTGTCCCTTCTTTTCGTAGGAGAACCTGATTGTGTCAAAATCTCCCCCTATTACCTAAGGATGATTCCACTTCAATCTGACCTCATCCAGCTCCTCCCAGAAAGAAACTCTCAGCCCCTCTTCATTTGGGCCATAAACCACTGATAAAACCCACTCCCAATCAGTCTCTCGAGATTGAACTAATAAAGATACAGAGAACTGACCTAGTAACTTGTCACTTACTATCACAACTTCAGTATCCCACACCACCAACATCCCCCCAGAAGTTCCTTGAGCTGGAAGAGCAACCCAATCACAGCAACGATCTCCCCAAATACTCCTCATGATAGACTGATCCATTGAGTGATTTGTTTTTTGAAGATGAATAAAAAAAATTATTAAAACAGGAAAAAAACATGATACAAGGAAAGGTGATAAGAAATCACCCGAATGAAATGAAAAATCCAAAGTACAACCAACTAAAGCTTAACACCTTTGTATGCCAAACCCCCAACAATCCAATTACCCCAACAACCTAGCCCCAAAACAAGCAAAAAGCACCAACATGACACAGCAAAAGAAATCTGGATCCAATCAAAACTCAAGTTTGAGACCAATACAGAATCCAGTTAAAGGTAGTGGGAAATTTCAAAAATCCCAACCTTTTCTTTGAGTTTTCTCCACTCTCTCTCTCTCTAAAACCCTAATGTTCTGAAAAGTTGTGCCTATATTATTCAGATCCCTAATCTAATTAAACCACACCCCATGTAACTCCAATCTAAAAAACTTACAAAGCTTCAGCCCAAAATTCCCTTTGAAACTCCAGTTATTGAAATTTCTTACTTTCTCTCTCTTGAGAAAGTTAAATTTCTGAATTTCAGACCAAAACCTCAATTAAACCTGAAAACTCCAAACCCATTTGAAAACCCTGCACCATCCATAATCCCCAATTAAATCTCTTAATTTTCTAAAACCTAGCAAGCCGCCCACTCAATTTTCACTTTAAACCTTACTTTAAGCCTCTTACCCACAGTCCTACATTAGGACATGGCCACTCCTTCGAATTCTGAGCAAGTTGAAATCTAGTTGACCAGGATGAGGGTAGCCAGCAAGAAAAAGAAGGAATAACTTGTAAACAATAACTTTTAACCCTTCAAAATGAACAACAAAACTAACTACAAACAAATAAAACACACCATAGTAACATTTCACATTTTCTGGTAAATCTGTGGGGCTAACAAAACCGGGGGGTACCCAACCCCTGTAAGCATCAAATACCATCCTATATAATCTAGGCAAGAAGTTCACTACCAACAAGTGGGTGCAGTTACAATCATGGTCCAACTTTGTTACCATGTCAGTTGCTCGGTTGGGTTCTCTGAAAATGTGAGAACCTCTAGCTAGTAGAAGAAACCTCTGGCTAGGATGTTGCAGCCACTAGGGCTCCTCCCTTTCTTGCTTTGAGTTTTAAGGAATTATTGTCCTCTCTTACAGGTGTAAGAATTACTCAATGAAGAACTCAGGTATTCAATTATCAAAAGTTATAAACCTTAACATCCAGGACTAAAGACAATAAAGTATAGACAAGGGTACCAATCAAGATTTTTTTTTTTTTAAAAAAAACAACTGTGAATAAATTAATACTCAAAAAAAAAGGTACATGAGATGATGTACAGTAGAAACAAACATAAAAACTCTTCCGGAAATGCACAGGCATAGCCCCATCACTATGCAAAATTTCCTTGAAAACTAATCATAAAATTTGGAAAAACAGGCAAGAAAATAAAGAAAGTCAGCTACCACAATCTAACCTCTAATTGTTCATAAATACTTTTTATTTTTTATAATAGGTCCTAATAACCTCCCCTCCCAACACCCCATATACACAGGAGCCCTGGACCAACATAAAGTAATGGAGTCCAGATCTTCTGTGACCTCAACACTGTGGTAAAAAGGGCAGCCCAGTACACGAGTCTCCTGCCAATGCATGGTCTGGGGAGGGACAGATGTATGCAGCCTTACACCTGCACATATAGAGAGGCTGTTTCCAAGATTTGAAACCTGGTCACCCAGGTCAGAATGGAGCAACCCAACTGTTGCGCCAAGGCCCACCCTCCATCATGGCCATTGTGGTAAACCCAATAAAAACAGGTCATTTGTTCCCAACCTTTTGTGACCATTTCCCTTGTATGAAGACTAGCTGAGTGCCTGTATCCTCTGTTAGTCATCTTTTTCTGTTAAATAAATTGAAAATGAAACCAAACCTTGTCTTCCCTCATCTCTTGCACAAAGCCTCCCCTTCTTTTTCCCTCTCACAGAGCCAATGTTTGAATTGGTCTCTGCTAGATAAAAGCATCCATCAAACATGAGATTGTGGTCTTGTTTGATCAAGCTCCCATCCATGTAGATTGGAATCAATTTGGGGTTTACTGTTTACACCAACTACAGCACCAAGTCCATGAGAAGCAAAGGTGGGTATGACATTATCAGAGAGGCCATTGAAAAGCTAGGACTGGGGGCCTGAGGACATGGAACACATCGCTGTCTATGATGAAGGGATGAAGGGAATAAGTGACAAATGTATCACAGGAAAAGGTGAGTTTAGCTGACTACAATGCTTTCCAAATAGCAAGGCCTCTGGAAAAGGCTGGGAAAGGCTACTATATGGATCAACACCTTGCTTCAATCATGTAGTTACTTCCACTATTGTTGACACCACACCACCATCCTCCAGAAGCCAACTTGAGGAATCTCCTCTCTGATTCTCTTTTCCGGGCAAAATGTTAACAGTTACTTTTTTTTTTCTTTTTGCTTCATGGAGCTACAATAAGCAGGGTGTAGCCCGTCCTCCATACCCATAACCCCCCAACCTTGGTAAATGTGGGTAAAGATCCCAAATCTTCCACTACAACCAACCAGCCAAGGGGTAGCCTGTCCTCCACCATCAAGGTCACCACAGCAGATCCAGACTTGAATCAATTGCCCTTCTAGTGAATTCATTAATATAATAAAAGAAGGATCCATAAACTATACCCAGGATGGGTGTTTTAGAAGCACAAGGCAAAAAAAAAAAAGCGCAAATGGCTTTTTACACATGAGGTGTAAGGTGCAAGGCAAGGGCATGGACCTTTTGAAGTGAAGTACAAATTTTCAAAAAAAAAATCAAAAGTGTTAAGATGTGCCGAATAGGGGTAGTTTAGTCTTCTTCTATTTGTTAAGTAACTTGCTTATGTGGCAGTGTTATTAGAGTTACTCTGCCCCACACTTAAGTAAGGGCATTTCTGTCTTTGTAAACATTATTAGAATCTAATATAGATTAAGGGGGTCGACTGGATGGGTCAACCATCAGATTTTCAACAGACCCTTCTTCTTCTTCTTCTTCTTCTTCTTCTTCTCTTCCTGTTCGGACTACTGTAGCAGCAGTCGAAACAAAAAGAATGCAAAAAATGTGAAATTTTCAAAATAAATCAAGAAAATACTAAAAACTGTAAACTTTAATTTTAAACTAAATGTTTTAAAAAGCCTATTAGCTCAAATTAAAATACATAAACATAACATATAAAACATATTCAATCATGTAGAACTTTTAATCTTTTTATTTCCTTCCCAATTGCCTGAGCTGAGGCACAAGGCACTACACCTGAGGTGCACCTTTTAAATCACTGCCCAGGATCCTAGAAGTACCAGGATATAAATAAAGTACACAAGAACCCAACTCCAAGAGATTTTCAGAGTTAGAATTCAAGGCTGAATGGAGTCATCAACAAAGTTTCCAGAAAAGATGTTGTATATCAAAACCATTACTACATATGACAATTTACAGCCCATATATAGAGAATAGAAGGGGTTGGCTATGCCTTTACAAGTTATATCTGGCTTTTCATACTTCAAGAGAACGAAAAAGGACCCCTTTAAATTTCTAACTCCATAACTCAAATAAAACAATCTAGAACTCCTAAAACCTACCAAATGAAATCCATAGGCCACCCAGCAGTACTGCAAACAATTCTCAAATTTTCCTACAGAATCAGAGAGAAAACAATTATGAAACTGCCATACCCAGAGGGTTCTGTTAGGAGTATGTGTATACCTGTCAACTCACTTCAGTAGCATGCAGGTAGTTCTTGTGTTCCTATTGGCCTGATTCCAATGATATTCAACATGCTCAGCATACCGTATCAACATGTACAAACTTGATGCTAGTTCTTAACTTCAGTAGCATGCAAGTCTTCCATTGTTCAACCCGCTATTTCTTAACTCTCTCATTTCTCTGCCTAAGGTGGTATTGGCTAAACATGTTATCAGCGTTTTGGGGAGACACTCATATCCACACTGTCCTGGATTTCAGGGAGTTTTGCATTAACATATCCTCAGCAAACAAAAGACACTGCCTAGCAGATTTCTAAACCAAAATCAACACAATTGGATGGCATTTCATGAATCATGATTCTTATAAAGGCTTGAACTTCTCTATGAAGGATTACAGTATATTATAAGCACAGGTGTGCTGCACAATTTGATATGGTAGAGTAAAACCAAGTAGTTGAGATTATACACCTGTTTTTATTTTGCCATAAAACCATTAAGGCTGATCAAATTACATGCTGAACACAATCCTCTCAACATCTTCAACATGTCCACATGAATTGTTATAGTTGTGCTAAAGGGTGCATAAGTACTAAAAATCTAGATTCTTTTCTCTTTTTTCATCAGCTACTAATACTCAAGATTTTACCTTTGACATAGCACATTACTAGATAAGTGTAACTCTGCTGATTTGCCTTCTTAGATGTTCAACTATACACTTTCCAAATTCCAAATAATAGATGAATGTTTATGCATTAAATGACACATATGTGTTGGAACTAAAATGCCCAACCAACCCATGAAACTGGTTTCACTAAAAAATACTCCAACAAGATACAGAAAAATACCTTCGGCTTCAAAGATTCATTGTCAGACAGCACCCAACACTCATCCTTGTCAAGGACAAAGGTTTCATCTTTCTCATCAGTGGACACCATTTCATAACCTTCGACAGCAGCCAACCTTCTAACCAGATACTTATCTGGATTCTCAGGATCCTTCAAGACAACAACATCCCCAACAAAAACATGCCTATAATAAAAATGCATTTGCAGTTAAAAAACTTGATACTTCAAGCAAGAAGCAAATACAAAATAACATCAAAGAATTGCAAATCAGAACCACCAGATTTTATAAGAAAACCAAGGTTTTCAAACCCAACATGTAGGATTTACAAAATAACATCAAAGAATTGCAAATGAGAACCACCAGATTTCATAAGAAAACCAAGGTTTTCAAACCCAACATGTAGGATTTTCAAATATGTTCATATTAACTTGATGGAAATAAGGAAACTTAATACGTTTACAAGGAGTCCGGATCTGGTCCCAATACACGATCCAACAGCATCCCAACTACCCATTGCAGCCATACATCAGGAACATCTCACCATGAAGAACAAGGGAGATGTTTGGTTCCCAATGCATGGCTGCAAATGGCTTATTGGGACATTTGTTGGGACCGTGTGTTGAGACTATACCTGACCTTGTTTACAAGAGACATAAAGTGAAGATAGATTTCAGGGTTCAATTTGTGCATGTTGTGTACATCGCTGATTGATCTCAATCTGAACCCTGTCATATTCCAAATATATGTGCATAGACATACTTAAAGGCATGTACAGGTGACTAGGAAACTATACAAAAAGTGGAATAATTAGTGGGAAAAAAACAATATTTTTCCAGTTGGAGTGAATTACATAAAGGGCTTGCCTTTGGCCCTATTCTTTTTATTGATGAATTAGCATATCACATATCATGAGAAATTTTCCTGGGGTAAATTATCTTTTTAAGACCCATTGTGTTGACAAGGCTAGAGACTGTTGACAGTAACCTAAAAAAGTAGTCACTTTCAAACTGATATTTCTTTATGTTCGAGTTTTATGTGTAATAACAAAGAAAGATAATTAAAGTAATTGTGAAGAAAGATGAAATATTCCACAAATTATTTTTTTCTCCTACAAAATATGACACCTACAATCTCATAATCTTATAGGAATCGTGAAACAGATCGAATCATGTAAAATACTTCAGCATGCCTATTTCATGAAACAGATTGATCATGAACTCTTTGTAACTATCTGGATGCTATTTCACTGACCAATAAAATTTCATTGATACTGATAAAAAAAATTTCATCATGCCTGCCGTAGCCATATCAACATGATTTGGTGCCAATATTATTACTGGATAACACACAGACACTTCCATGGTTTTCTTATTTAACTCTTAATGTTTTCCTTTTCTCTTCTGTGAATGAAAACAATATATCATAAAAAGTTGGATTAAATACTTAAACCTCCCATTTGGTTTCTGATAAATACTTAAATCTCCTTTCTGATTTCTGAAATGACTTGAAGTACCCTTGTCAGGTGACATCAAAGGACAAATACTACCCCTCCGTTAGTGGTCTGTTACATTCCATTCGCATGTCACATCACATGATGCATATAATCTTTTGAAAACCCAAAATTGCCCTTTTACAAAGTTCTTCTCTCAGTATAAATTAATCATTGCAGCTCTTGGAGGAGTTTTATGGTGTTGGTTGGGGAATTTATGCAGAAAAGAAGCTGTGGAAACTCATCTTTGATAGATACTCACGGAAAACTTGAGCACAATGGGAACTTGTGTTGATGATCCACTTGGTTGTAGAGATCATAGTGAGCACCAAAGGAAGAGAATGATACTAAGATTGAGCCTTGATGTGGTATGCTTTTCAGATTGATTTCTCAGCATAACTTCCTTTTTTGTGCTAGGCTTAGTGTTATTTCAAGGGGTGTTCATTTTTTTGAATTTTGAGAGGGGGGTCAAGTGGATTTTGGTTCCCATTGACCAAGAAACCCATGTTCTATTTTCAGATTTATGTGGGGACCAGGGAAAGTTTATTTTCCTGGGTACCATCTCCTAGGTGGGTAAATAACTTTCCTACCTGGGGGAAGTTGCCAACACATGGGCAAATGTACTTACCCGGATAAGTAATTTACCGAAAAGCAAATGGGACCCAAGAATAACCAACCTATAAGCTTCCTCCAAAAATTCAGAATGCAATAATTGCTAATGATCTGGACAACAATTTGGGTAAACAAAGAATGCACAGGAATCAATCTTATGGGGAAATTGTCCCTTAGTAATATTATATATATATAGGAAAAGCTTGGATAAGGTGGCAAGGCCAGCCTAAATCTCAATTAAAGGGGTCCCTGGCATAGATTGTAATTATATTCTATTTGTTCCATATGAAATCAATTGGATGTTAAAGTTACATTGGATCTGCAGCTGGTAGTTTACGGACAAGAAGAGTTCCTCCTTGTGCTCCTACTGTTGGTGCCATCTCTTCTCCCTTGTTCCAATGTAAGTATGTCAATTTTCCCTGAAAAACATTTTTCCAGATAGTGTCGCCCAATTCTTTGTCATTGATTTTTCCTATTTTATAGCTCTGCATCATAAGAAGATTCAGTCAGGACACTTATTATCCCTTTGTTTTTAACTATAGTAGGGAAGACTGAAAAATGTAACAGATATTTACACATACAACCACAAGAACCAGAATGAAATCAAACTGACATAATAGAGAATGGAGGTCTTTTATTAGAAAAGGAATATAAATGAGCATAAATACATGTTTTATAAAGAACATTGTGTTCTTTAGCTCTTGCTAGAGATGGATGCCAAAATCAGCTAATCCTTTGGCCAATGGTCCAAATAGCTCAGAAGTAACTTTGATATCATCTTATTTGCATCCTGCATCACCAACATTTCTCTTTTTCCATTTAATAATAACATGAAAATCAGAAAGTACTACTTCAGCTTAGTAACTCAGGAAGTGTTCTATTTTTTTATTATCATCTTATTTATACCCCATATCACAAACATTTTCTTTCATGAAAGTCAGAAACTACTACTTCAGCTTAGTAACTCAGAAATGTACTATCCTATTTGTTGCCTATGTTGCATCTTGCATGGATGGGGGGATACTTGTTTGTGTTGGATAAGTTCTATATTTCTATAAACTAAAGCTGTTGGGAGTTGGACCGACTCAGCTAAGATAGCTCCCCCAACAAGGTAAAAGGTTTATGCACACATAATCAGGTGAATAACAAGTATATACTTTATTGATCAAAAACATAAGTATATACTTTCCAAGTAAGCATAGAAGATGTATGTTAATTTTAAAGATTGGATAAAAATAAGGAGTAGGGAAAGTGTATAAACCCCATAGTCTTCCGTATTTTATTAAATAACTGACATCCAATGACCTAAATTTCACAATGGTTGTAGTCTTGGGAATCCAAAGTGACCAGGCAAGCAAGGAGCACTAGGTCTGGAATCTTTGGTGTCTAGCCCCCTTTTGCTATTGTACTGAGGAGATAAAGGTAGCATTTATTCCCTTACAGATTCTCACCTCTACTTTGGAATTCCCCAAAATCCTTCACTAAATGACTAAATCCTCCTTTATTGTTTGATTGGCTTCCAATGAGTTCTGATAGAAAGCTACTGAAAACCCAGCATTTCTTCAAYTGAATTGATATAATGCAGTTTTCCATGTCCAGACAATCAGACATTACTTGTAGGGGCTGAATTGGGTGGTTGCCAAGAAGATGGAATCCAGGACCTTTTTTTTTGTCTGGTTGCCCGGCCAAGTTAGAGTCACATGGTTTACAAGATGTCACGAAAGTAAAGTCAGCAAATCTTGAAGAATAATTTGGCAAGAAGTAGGATAAGGGCTGCAACTTGGGCGGACTCAGGTTGAGCATTTGCTAAAAATTGAATGGGCCCAGAAAGATGCTATGTAAATTCTCAGGAAGGCTTATCAACATGATAAAGAAACTTCAATCAGTCTGACTTAGAACTGCCAAAGAGGGTTCTATCATCTCCCCCCACCTCGGTTTGCTCCATTTGAGGTTTTTTTTATAAATTCCATTTGAGGTTGTTGTGGAGACAATTACCTCCCAACCCCCCTCCCCCAAACTTTTTATGGTTGCGTTTCCAGGTCCTTAGGTCTCCTAAAAAATGGAAAGATTTGGTGGGGAAAAAAATGCCATATGAAAAAGTTGACACAATATAAAGCAACAGTTTTGCAATATTCAATCTTGAGGGAAAGGTTGTCTGTCACCATAGGATTGATAACATCTTATTTCTCTTTCAGATGATACATGATACATGGGGTGTAAAGTCCTTGTGGTCCAAAGCTGGGTTAGGATTTGCCAGCTTTAGGTAAGCTCTCTTTTGATGTTATTTTAGGTAAATATCCCTTTTTGATCTAGAGCTACCAATGGTAAGATTTACTGGTCATCTGATCATGGGATAAGATGAACTAAAAAGAAGAGAAAACCATAGTAGAACTGTCTTTCTTCACATAATTAGTCAAAAATAGCCACCTCATTGATTAGGATGAAGTAGACCATCTAAAAGGAGTAAAGGCCATTACCCAATGTTGGTCTTCTCTATAAGGGATCCTGGAAGGGGTGGTTCAATAAGGACCTAAAATTTGGCATTTAAAAACCGGCAACTCTCAGACCCAATCCCGTGTTCCAACACTTGTCAGCCCAAGATTTTACTATTGAACCAGGCAATCACCCCTAAAGGGGCCTGTGCTCATTAAAAGCTTTCGCATATGAACAGTTCAGATCAGTATCATGTTCATAATACGATAATTGAAGCCTTTCCTTAGGGGTGTGTAGCTCACCATGACAAGAGAGGAAAAGAACAAACCTAACAACACGGCTTCAAATGCCACCCCCCTATTGAAGTAGTTCATTGGACTCAAGAATTCAAAACATAAGAAATTAGTCAAAATTCAAACCTAAATCCAGACCAACAAAGCCATGGAGACAGAGGGTGGAACAACAAGCAGGCACCAAGTAAGTGCAACAATTAAACAGTGACCCATCAAAATCAACAAATTACCCGAACCACAATAAATTACATAATCCTTAACCGAAGAAAAAACAAAATTTGCCATAACCTGATCTTGAATCAGCCATCAACGCTTCCAAATCAGCATATGACCATAGAAATCAAGAAAATATTGACTTTAATTAGTGAAGACAAACATTGAACAACAAAACCCATATGGAAAATCAAGGCTTTGGTTCAGCAAATAAAAAATTGAGAAACAATATAAGACTAGTTTATATTAGTCGGAAACAATAAAAGCAAGCAATGGAAATACAAAAATCTCGAGAAGAGGATAGAAACTTGACAGACCTTCCAGCTGAGAGAAACAGAATACTCAAGCTTGTGTGCTATATACCGAAACCATGTCGACAGAGAAACCATTGCAAACTCAGCCCAAATGCAGCATCCCTTTCCCCCACCCGTCCCTCGAAATATTATTTCTACTTCTCTTATAACATTAACACGAATATGGAGCATCATTTATTTTCTTTTGGGAGTAAATTACTTAAGCCTCCCTGCGTTTTCCGACAAATGCTTAAACCTCCCCTGAACGGCTGAACCAAAATGAAAATAAATAAATAAAAATAATAATAATAATAATAATAATTTTGCTTCAAAATGAGGAGCACTTAAGACCTAAGAGAGGGTTGTTGATGTGGTCATGATCACTTAAACCACCCCTCGCCCTTTTTCTGCTTAAAAGTCCTTAAACCACCCCTCAGATTCCTCACAAATACTAAACTCTCTCCTAACCTTTTCTTAATAAAGACACTAAGCTTTATCTCTAGTCTCTAGACTTAGTTATTGTTCGAATTTAATCACACATTTAAGGGGGTGTTTACCGGTATGTATGGTTTTGTTTTTGAACATAAAAAAAAAAATCATATTAATGTTAGCAAACAGGAAAAATCCTAATAAAATTTGTAAGGGGGAGTAAATTACAAATTTTCCTATTTTTWGGGGTGCAATTTGGGCAGCCCAATTTTAATTGAGTATCAATTCAAACTATAAATTAATACATGTTGAACTTGGATTTTTTGTTCTTGTTTTTGAATTTAATCACGCATTTAAGGGGGTATTTGCCCGTATGGTTTTCTTTTTGAACATAAAAAAAAAATTATATTAATGTTAGAAAACAGGAAAAAGCCTAATAAAATTTGTAAGGGGGAGCAAATCATAAATTTTCCTAATTTTAGGGGTACAATTTGGGCAACCCAATGTTAATTGAGATCAATTCAAACTATAAATTTATACTAGTTGAACTTGGATTTTTTGTTCTTTTGTTCTTGAACTCGGCATGGGCTCAAAACCCCAAACTTCCTATGTTTTCAAATAGGTTAAGGGATAGCACTTACATAGCCCAAGCTCGGCCCAACTATACATGTACATGAACATATATGTAGATACATATCTATACTATAAATAAAAGTGAGGATGTAGAGTGAAAGTTTTTTTGGATTAAAATTGTCCTCTATTTCTTTGTTTTAGAAAAGATATAAAAGTTATTTTATTACAACTTTAATGCCAGCCTTTATGTGAAAAGATGAGAGATACATCGTATGGACGCCCAAATCTTGCGGAATAGAATGGGCGAATTTCAAAAATTTCTCTCCTACCTAGTGGGAATCGTATTCCCTATTTTATAAAATTCATATTTTTCAATGATCAATCTTGAACCAAGAACCGAACCAAATATGAACAAAAATAGTAGGAGAGGGATATACCTGATACAGAGAAACAATATCTCCCAATGGAGGTGTTCACGCCCAAGGAAGGAACCAAAGACTGCTCCTACTGAAAATGGCACAGTGTAGGATGGAGCAAAATCAACAACGTCCTTCAAAAGAACCAGATCCTTCGCAAAAATCAGCTGGACAGTACGTGAGCACGACTTCCAATAATCCCTTTCACAAAGGACTGATATCAAGATCTAATCTTGATCACTCCCACTGAGAATAGGAGATCGAATTGGTAGATATGGCAGCGACAGGAAGGAGGCGGCAAGAAAAAATTAGCGCAGAAAGGCTGAATTCTTTCTTCTAGGATTTCAGCTCTGCAGACAATGTGAATTGTGTGTGTAAAAGTTGCCGCCCCCTCCTCTTTTTATAATCTTAAAGGGATCAGCTCCTAATCCCATTAGGAATTGCTTATCCAAATCATATTTGGATCAGAATTCCCTTTAAGTGATAAGGGTAAACCCTTATCTTATCTACAGTTTAGATCAGCCATCTCCTAATCTAAGTAGGAGGTTTCTAAATCTGCTAATCTAATCTCAGAATTTGCCCTTCATTTAACTGATCAAATCAGCCCAGTTCGAAATGGGCTTTAGGCCCAATAAAGATATATGCTCACTTAGCCTTCCAAACTGCTGCCCGGTTGGGCTTCCTTGTATGGCGTGGGACCCAAACATTAATCTACACATCAGCCACATGGGTTCAGCCCAGCCTTTGTTACAAGGTCTGGCCRAATACACTGTTATGGACAATGCACCCCCTGAAACCCATCACATGGGCTCTATGGGCCCAACACTTACC